CTTTCTGTCTCTATGTCTCTCTCTGTCTGTCTGGCGAGCACATGCGCCCTACAGTGAAAATCTCTCCCCCCCAAAAAAAATTTTTTTTTTAAATTTTTTTTCCCATATTTTTGGTTTTAAGTTTACTTTGAAATTTTGAATGATTTTTTTTAGCAAATTTACAGAGTTGTGCAACCATTGCTAGAATTTTAGAATGTTTCTATTGCCCCCAGATTATTCCTCATATTCTTTTATTTCTTGTGTTCACTTTTCTTTGTGTGGGTTCTGTGTATTACCTTCCTCTCCACCATCCTTTTGTCTGCTAGCTTTGTATTTCAAGGCCTTCCTGTACACACCAATCTGGGCTGGCTGAAGCTGGGTGTGGATTGCAGCATGAAGTCCCTGTTGGGGGTGCCTGACTCTTTCTCTCTCTCTGTACTGATCTCTCTTTTACTTCCAGAAGAAATAAATAAACTTTAAAAATAAAAAGCAAAAGAAGGAAGTGAATATTACAATTATTTCTTTCTGAAAGCCAGATTAATCCTAGGTGAAAATGTATTTGTTATCTATTTTATTACAAATTTAATCATTTCTCATTTTAAAGCACAGAAAAAACAAAATATCAACAATTTCAAATACCTAAGTGTATATTTATTTGATGGATCTTCTGACTGCTCTGCTCGCTGATTCACTATCTTCTGTCTTCCTTCTCTGTCCTTCTCTTCACCTAACCTGCCCTATCTGACTCTGCCCTTTTCCTTTACTCTTGCTGAGGGTACCAGTGACATCACAGTGAACTAAAACCAACAGCCTCTTGACAGACTATCTTTTATTGTGGATCTATTAAGTTCCAGGTGCTCAGAACAGAAAGAAAAAGAAGGAATGGCCCCTTATTTTAAGGCGCTTAGTGTGATGGAAAAACAGACTTAAGAAAAGATGATTATCCTGCAGAGTGAGTGTTAGCGGTGTGCATGAGGAGCCAGTAGAAGACTTCCTGGTAGAGGTGTTGCCTGGGCAGTCAATGCAAAAGTGGAGGGGTGAAGCAGTATTACTGTGGGCAAAGTGTGGGAAGGAGGTGGCAGAAGAGCAAGTTCAGAGGTAGGCAAGAGCCAGATCATGGAGAGTTTTGCAGACCAGGCTATAGATTAGGAATCCAGGCCCAGGTTAGCTGGGTGCTCAGGCTGAGTTTCTCATAGGGCTGGGATCAAGTTGCTAGTCTTAGTTGGGGTCTTATCTCAAGGCTTCTCTAGCAAGGAATCCTCTTCTAAACTCACTCAAGTGGCTGTTAGCAGGATTCAGCTTCTCTCAGGACCTTAATTCTTGGGTGGCTGATGGTCAGAGGCTACCCTCATTTCCTTGCCATGTGGGCCCCACGATAGTGCAGATCACAGCATGGCAGCTGCATCATCAGAGCAAGGAAGCAAGCAAAGCGAGAAAGGGCAAGCACAACGGGAGCCCCAATCTTTTTGTAACCTAATCCTGAAAGTGACATTCCATCCTTTTTGCCCTTAGAAGCAAGTCCTGAGATCTAGCTTACACTCAAGGGAGGGAATTACACAAGGTTGTGACTGCCAGGAGAGGAGACTCATTTGATATCACTTAGAAATGGCCAGCACAAGTGACTAATGACACATAGCTATTTAATCCAAACTTGAGGTCCTTATCCTACACAGTGCATGTTTGCAACCACATTGTGCAGTAGAATACCTTCCCATCTCACCCCTCCCCTACGTACAACTATATGGTGCCCAGCACCAAGTGGCAACGGGGCAGAACTTGCTGACCTATTAAAGGGGACGGGCATTTCTCCCACCCACCCTGTCATTGTGTGCCCATCGTGGTCAGGGTATCTCATTCTCACAGATCAACTTGAAAATGTTGATATTTATGTGGGTTTTATGGCAACTAATAATTTTAAAATGCGTTTAGTACTGTATGAATCAACACTGTGTCAGCGAATCAAAGCACATCTGAAAGTCAATTCTGCCCACCCTCCTCTCGCGGCCGCCCATTGATGACATCTCTCTGTCCTGTTTATCATCTTTGGAGGAGACACACAGTAAGAGCCAGGAAATGTTGCTAGTGTATTTCTAGGGATAGGAGAGAAAAGTTGGTCGGTTCCTCTGCCTTGGCCATTTCACATGGAACTAGAATTTCAATTTCCTTCAACAGATTGGATTTGATATTCGCTCAAATCATGCTCCACAATATGGATCTGGCATTTAAAAACAAGATTTGGTGGAAGATATTTTATTTTTATTTCAGTGCACTGTAGTACCATCCTCCTACAAACTTAATGAACCATGTAGTATTGCTCTCTGTACCTCCTCTGCTACCCAAAGAGAAGTGGTCATTGTTATCAAGTGCCTCTTACAAAACTTCTTTAGAGGAAATTATGTAAGAATTTTCTAAATGTCAGTAAAATACACAACAGACTATTGCATGACATATACAATATCTTTGTTCCTCTGGGTTGCTGCACTTGATCATTGGTGCATATAAAATTCAACTAATAATGCAGTAAACTAAAGATCATTAAATGAATGAGATGGACAGTTTTAATTGGGCTGAATTGGCCTGACATGTACAGATCACCAGGATCTGGTTAGGTGGAAGAGAAGGGAAACTAATAAGCCTTAGCAAATTCAAAATGGAAAAAGATCAACACAACCTAAAGCCTAAGGAAAGATGACATTAGAAAACTTATCTATTTTGCCTATAGTGTATTGATTTCACTTGTTCCAGGAAACTCTAGATTAAACAAAAATGATTATGCAACATGTAGGACCAATAGTAAAATGTGTGGATGGCTCACATTGTTCACTCTATCCCAAAGGAGATGAGTGACCATTTTTTGTGTTTTTTAAAACTGACAACAATTGTATATATTTATGGGGCACAGTGTACTGTGTTGATATATGTACACATTGTCGAATGATAATACCAAGCTAATTAACTATCACCTCATGTACTTGTCTTTTTTTATATATAGTGGGAAAATCAACTCATTTAGTGATTTTGAAATATTCAGTATAATATTATTAACTATGGTCCCCATTCTGCACAATAGATCTGGAAAACTTATTCCTCCTGTCTAACTAAAACTTTGTACCCTTTGGCCAACATCTCCTGGGTGACAATTTTTGACTTGCAAATTTTTTGTTCCATTTCCATGAAAGGGAAAGAAATGCTAGTCTTTTCAAAAATGAAAAGCAAAGTGTCAGTGCATAAAAAAGAGAGTACTTTTTTTGTCCCCATATTTTGGTTTCATGAGATTGAGTTGAAGAACTATGATGAGGGAAATTTTCATTTTATTGCACACTGAAGAAAACTGGATTCAATAAATATAAAACATAAAAGCAAGTTGAGAATTGGCCTTTGACAATTCTATGTGGCTTGATATTTGGTTAAATTTCAGTGTCATTTGATCTGTCTCTTATGCATGTATTAACCAGATGGAAATCAAATTTGTAAACCATTGTATGTACTACAGTTTACTCCATTTAAGATAGTTCATGTAGGGGGTCCACCTGCATATTTGGCCTTCCCTCACACTCCCCCACAACATGAATAACTGTCTCCTGAATTGTTGGATGTACCATTTCAGTGATCGAGGGAGGACCCCTGGAACACAACTACCGACTGAAGCAGTTCCATTTTCATTGGGGGGCCATTGATGCCTGGGGCTCCGAGCACACTGTGGACAGCAAATGCTACCCAGCAGAGGTATGTTGAGAAAGTCAGGAAGAGTGACAACTCTCGAGAAGCAGTGGTAATGCTAAGGTTTCTCATGTTAAGAAATTACCAGAATCAAGTGATTCCTATAAATGCTTAATAGCTCTCTCTGGGACATACCTGATTATTCCCAGCTGAGGAATGTAAAAGTGGTAACTTCTTTCATATGAAATAATATAGCTGAAATGAACCTTAAGATCCTGAAATCGAATTCTTCCAGAATTCTAAACTGGGCTCAAATTATAGTCTAAAGTAATAACCCAGGTAACAGTGCAGGGTCACAAGTTGGATTAATTCAAGTTAGAGATGGTGGGAATTGAAATGAAAGCTTTGGCAGTAGGAATAAAGAAAAAGAGCAGGATTTATCAAACTTTTCTGAAATGAAATCATTAGGACTTAGACGTGGAGTCCTGTCATCTTTAGGAGAGAAGGCAAAGTTAACTGTGACCTTGAGGTGTCTCAGTTGGGAGTCTGGGTGATAATGCATTCATGAATGATGGATGAGTAATGATTTGTAGAGAAATAGCATAAGGAAATAAAATGTCTTCTTACAACTTTTCCTCTAATTTAGTTTTAAACATTATGTTAAAAATAAAAACACATTTTATATTGTCATCCCTTGAAGAAGAAATTTGATTTCTTCCCCTGTCTGATTTCCATAGGGAGAATCTGTTTCTCTCAATATAAGCATCGTCCCTTCTTTAAATGCAAATTATTTTGGATGTTAGTATTTCATGCAAATCAGGATGGAAATGGACAAATATTGGTCCCTCACTGAATTGTTACTCACTGTGCTATATGAATTTTCTTTTAGTTTTCTCCTCAAATAGGTCCCTTTGTTCCAAAGTAATACTAGTTCATTGCTACTCTTGCCTAAATGTCTTCCTGTTCATTATTTCTATCTCATTTCGCCTCAGAATGTCATATGCTTTTCTCAGCGGCTTTATTTAGAGTGAATATCCTAAGTTGAATGAGATCATCAGTTTGAGAGTGACCCTGTATGACCCACACTAACACACTGTTAATGGGGTTTTAGCTGCATTTGGTGCACTGGAATGCAGTCAGGTTCGAAAGCTTCGAGGATGCAGCACTGGAAGAAAATGGTTTGGCTGTGATAGGAGTGTTTTTAAAGGTAAAAAATATCTTAGTAGCTGTAAATGATGTGTTGGATTCTAAAATGAAAAGATGGAACGTGACAATTGTGTTATTTACTTCAAGAATGTTGTGATAAATACATTGATAAAAATAAACAATGGCTGAGCCAGCCCTATTGGGCTAGTGGTTAAAAGAGCTGGATACCACATGGCTGACTGCACTTTAAATCTCAGTCCAGCAGCTTGAAAAATATGCTGAGCATGTGTATATGCCCCAGATTCTGACAGACGGAGAAGAGGGGATTGTTGTGTGACCATGCCTCCACTGGGGGGTACTTTCTTCCCTCTCCCTCTCTCTGTCTGTTTGTCTTTCTCCAGCCATTGCACACACTCTCTGACAAAAAAGAATTAAGAAAGACAAAATTGTAATAACTGTATTTCAAATAGTGTAAAAATACACAGTTCAGTAGAACAGCTACAGCCACACATGGCAGTTGAGCTCTTGAGATATGGCTGGTGCAAATGTGCAGAACAATTCCTCATTTTATTCCATTTTCATTCATTTCAATTTCAATTTAAGTACCGATACTTAAATGGAGCAAGGGACACCTTTCCCTGCTGGCGTCTCATTTGCTCTGTGTCTAATTTGATTCAGTGATGTCTGTAAATTCTAAATTACCAGTATAAGCGCAGTTCATTCCAGTGGGTTGTTTTTATGTAACTGTCAGGTGCTTACTTTTAATTCACATTCTATTACAGTTTCTACTATGAGATGTCCATCGCTTTTAATATTTTTTTGTTGTTCTTTAGCTTGGCAAACACCATAAAGAGCTACAGAAATTGGTAGATACTTTGCCATCAATTAAGCATAAGGTAATTTGTTTTCCCTAAATCACTTGAAATGTATTTGATGTTTCAGTCTCAGAGTGGAGGCATTCAAAAGGCACTTTGAATCGGGGAGCGTAATGAAGTGAATTATATTCAGGTTCTTTTTGAATGTTGCCTTCAAAGAAGACTTGCCATTCATGATGCTTATGTTAAGAGTTCTGGCCCTGGGCCAGCACGTGATGCAGAAGTTAAGGCAACTTGGTCCCACATGGCTGACTGTGCAGTTTGAGTCCCAGACTAAGAGCCTTGAAAAACACGCTGAGTGTGTGTGAGTGGTGTGAGTGCACGTCCAAAATCCTGAGAGTGGAGAATAGGACATTGAAGTATGACCAAACCCTTAAGGGCAATTTTCTCACTTTCTCTCTCTCTCTTCTCTCCCTTCTCTCTCTCTCTCTCTCTCTCTTTTTCCTTTCTCTGGCGAATGCAAGCTCCCTATAGTGAAACTGAAAAAAATAAAAATAAAAAAAAGAGCCCTGGCCCTGGTCCACACTGTGGGAGACAGTACTGATTGCATTGATGGGCACTGACCTTTCTGGTTTTATTGCCATCAGGCGGAAGACTTGGGAGGACTCACGAACATACTGGGGAAGATTCAAGAACCTACTGCTGTCCTCTCCTCTCTTTTGCACACCAGCTCCTTCTAAGTTCTTGTGAAAATACTCAGAACAGCTTCACTTTAGAAAAGAGACTTCGCAGTTAGTCTCTCTTGAACAGAGAAGCTCTGAGTTCAACGACCACCACTGCCTGAAACTCCCACGAGTACCCAGAGGAGACCTTCTGGGAGCTCCCTAGAAATGAGGGAGGGAACGGTTTAGGCTGTGTCCCATGGAGGAGTTTCAGAAATCCAGTTAATTGCAGAAAGAAAGCCTGGGCAGGAGTCTGTCGTGAGCAGTGATGCTTCAGGAAGCCACTCAGGCCCTGGTGCTCCCCCGGACCCCTGCTGGTTCTGGGACAGCCCCTGTGAGCCATCACCTGGTGATCAATTCCTGTGTGGTTTTCACAATTAAATAACGACTCAGTGACTCCTTCTCTTGGCCAGGATGCCCTTGTGGAATTTGGGTCGTTTGACCCTTCCTGCCTGATGCCCACTTGCCCGGATTACTGGACCTACTCGGGGTCTCTGACTACCCCGCCCCTCTCTGAGTCTGTCACCTGGATCATTAAGAAGCAGCCAGTAGAGGTGGATCATGATCAGGTACGTTCTCACCACCATTGCCGTCCTTGGAAATCCTAGCCATTTAAAACAGGGCTGGGCTCGAACATTGGCATCAGTTTTAACATCTTGGAATGCTTACACATTTTTATTAAAATATGCTAATGCTTGTCTTAATTTGGATATGAATTGGGAAATGCTTCAAATTAACTAGAGGAGAGACAGAAAACATAAGTTTTTTACTTCTATATTTGACAACTTACATATGATTATGCATTGTGTGTTTTATGTATAAATATGAATCTGTATATAAAATGAAGACCCTTTTAAAGGGAAGAATGTAGCTGAAAATGAATATGTTCAAAATCCTTTAAAATACTTAAAGGATCATATGGTAGTTCTATTTGTAGGTTTTTGAGGAACCTCCATATAGTTTTCCACAATAGCCGTTCTAATTTACATTCCCACCAATAGCATAAAACAGTTCCCTTTTCACCACAGCCTTGCCAGCACTTGCCATTCCTTGTTTTTTAATCTTAGTCATTCTGACTGAGGCTAAATAGTCTCTCATTGTGGTGTTGATGTACATTTCCCTTATGATAAAGATGTTGAACATTTATGACCCAGTAATTCCACTTCTTGGTATCTACCCAAAGAATAGGAATACACTCAGTTGAAAAGACATTTGCACATCCATGTTGATTGCAACATTATTCACAATTGCTAAGACATGGAATCAACCTAAATGCCCAAGAACTAATGAATGTATTGAAAAAATATGGCACATTAAACTATGGAATACTACTCAGCCATAAAGTACAATGAGACCCTGCCATTTGATTCAAAGTGGATGAATATAGAAGACTTAATGCTAAGTAAAGTAAGCCAGACTGCAAAAGAGAGGCACTGTATATTCTCACTCTGTATAAACCATATGTCTGTGCTCTATAGCAGAAATTCAAAGATCCTAAGATATGGAGCCAGCAGGTGGCATAGTGGTTAAGGCACTGGACTCCCACATGGCTGACCATGGTTCGAGTCTTGGATCCAGCATCTTGAAATTCACGCTGTGTGCTTGTGCATACATGCTCAAAATCCTGAGAGGAGAATGGTACATGGCTATACCCCTGGGGGATGATTTTCCCTTATTGTGTCTCTCTGGCAGGCGCATGCAACCTATACCCCAAATCTCTAAAAATAAATAAATAAATAAATAAATATCCAAAGATACAGTAGTAGGGAGTTCAAGTGTAGATTACAGAGGCCCTATGGGAGGGAAATGGATAGAAGAATGGAGGGGAAGGGGCTCAGGGAAGAAAGATTTAAAAGATACAAGAATATAAAATTCTCTGTTAAAAATTATATATTTAGTATATGGTAAAATCCCTGATTATATTATCACATATTGTATGCATACTTTGAAAAACCATCATGCAGGGACCAGCAGTTAGCATAATGGCTATGTCACTGGACTCCCATGTAGTCGACTGCGGTTCAAGTCTTGGACCCAGTGCTTAAACTCACACTGGGTGCGTGTGTGTGCATGCCCAAGATCCCAAGAGGAGAATGGAGGAGAAGGGATTGTGGCGTGGCCATCCCCCCTGGCGGGTGATTTCTCACTTTCTGACTCTCTGTCTCTCTCTGACTTTCTGGCGAGTGTACGTGCCCTATAGCAAAAACCTCTCCAAAAAAAGAAGAGAAAAGAAAAGAAAAAAAGAAAAACCATCATGCTATAGAGATGTACAACAATGGAATGAAAACAGGAAATCATAAAATTGAAAACAGAAAAAGCCGAAGTCAAAAAAAAAAAAAACCTTAGAGAAATATTGTCATAGAATCTCAGGATAAACATAGAATCCATCAACAGCTGTCCAGAAATTTTAATATAAGTCAGCTGTTTTGAACTTGGGATTTATTTTTCCCTCCTGCACTTGACCCAACCACTATAATGCACATTGCTAAGATGCTATGCTCCTCAGTCTGGGACCACATGGGAGGGTTCAATTCTCTGTCCAACTTAAAAGCCAGGTGTGGTAGTGTAGACATGGTGGCATGTACTAATAATCCCAGCAACTGGGATTGACACAAGAGGATTTTGAGCTTGAGGCTAGCCTGGGAAACACCCTGTCTGAAGAAGAGCCAGGTGTGGTGATGTGTGCCTGTAATTCCAACTGAGGGGAGGATCACAACATGGTGAGCCCTGTCTTAAAAGATATATGTTTAGAGAGAATTAAGTGTAGGTGGTGTTTCCTACATCAACATACAAAATTCTGTTTGATTCATAACATAACTAAACTACAATGATATTTGCTCATACTTGTTTTATGGGATTTTTATTGATTACAAAACATTTTCACAAGAATAAAAGCTACTGGGAACCAGCAGTTAGCATAATGGCTATGTCGCTGGACTCCCACGTAGTCAACTGCGGTTCGTGTCCCGGACCCGGTGGCTTAAAACTCACGCTGGGCGCATGTGCGTGCGTGCCCAAGATCCCGAGAGGAGAATGGAGGAGAAGGGATTGCG